ACTCTAGAGGCATTCTGGATTAATTCCAAGAATCCGAAAATGAACCGCAGGGAAGAATGCCTCGTTATCACGCGCGATATTGGTCAGTATATAAACCTGTTGTTCTGATGGGAGGAACACATTACGCTTCCATGTGAATTTGGTGCGGTCGGTCTTCACGCGACATACTCAGTGGAAGACTCATAGAAAGCGGTGAGTGTGCAGAGCTATGCTAAATGTGATTGAAATCTTGGTTTAGCGTTTTCTCTGTTTAGTTATGGAGGTGTTTCGTCGATTGGATTGCTGTCAACTTGTCCCTTCTAGGCTCTGAGGAAGGTGAAATCCGCCGAAACGTCAGCTTGTGCGTAAATAAAGAAATAAAATAGCACCTCGTGTTTGCTGAACAGAAGTAGAAAGATATATTCAATCAATGCCGAGGTTAATAGAAAGTCGGACTTGGGAGTTACTACAAATTTATTTGTTAAGTTTTATCTGCTGGGGTTATGAAAGTGTTTGGCTGAGTAGATCTCATTTCAATTTGACCTTTCCATGCTTTGAAGAAGGCGAAACCGCCGAAACGTCAGCTATTGTATCCTAATAAATATTGAAGAAAAACATTCAATGAACAAAGTTCGCCACTAGCTCACCTATGCTTTTTTAAAGATAAAAGGCACCATCACTTCCGAAAATGCACAATTTTGATTTAAAGATTTTGGAATGGGCGCACTATCGTTGGTATCCCGAAAGGTACCAATTATTACTAAGTGATGGCAGTTTTATTAAGCATATCAGTGTTGGTTGATAACAAAAATAAAATATTTCAAGAAAATAGTGCCACACACGAATTGTTCCTAACTGGAGTTTCATCTACTTTTTCTTTTTCAAACATTTCCCCTGCAGCGACTGCAAGATTCGCAAATCAAACGATCCGAAGAGAATGTCTTATCAGACGTCGGCCTCACTGTTGACACCAAGGTGCTATAGCGCTATATTAAAAACAGATATCACTTTGAAATCGTAGAGCGGTCAAGCAAATAGAAGGTGTAGTCGCTATCAACAAGACTTTGAAGTTGTAACGTCATGTCTTTATTGTTCTAACGTTGCTGTTCAGCACACGATAGTGCACATAACTGGGTAGGGATAGACTACACCAAACAGCTTGAGCAAAATAGATTTCCATTCCATGCTTTGGTGCTTTTAGGAGAATTCATTTCTGAAAACATCTATTTGAATGGGTTCTCTAAGAGTGGACTATCCATCCATTCCTTATGAGTGTCAAACTACAATCTTGCTCGGAAAGAATGACACCATGATTAACCCTAACTGAAAAGGATTTCGATGTTCCTAACGAAAAGCCATGCCTAGAAGCTAAAAATCGTCGCCGTTCTAAAAGAAATCTAAACAATATCTGGCCGACCTCCGCCTAATCAATAACGACCGGCCAGCGCCTATGAGAACAGGAAATATGTGCCTTAGAAATTTTATACCAGCTCTCCATTTAAGGTAGCTTGTGCAGTCGTCATTGTGCATGGAGACTGAAAATGCGCTGGTGACCGCATAAGTCTTTATGAAGGTAAACATTTGGTGAATCAATGGATTTCGGTATTCGTGGAGAATCAGTGCGATAAAGTTGGAAATTTCGCATTTTTCCCAGCAGTATTATGTTAACACTGGGACAACAATAACTATGGTACTGGGATACTTGCAAAACATGGACCCCAGGAAAGATTCAAACCCGCGATTACCCTTTCCGAGGCTGAATACTGATGGGTTATGTAGAAAACCGGGTGAGAGAAAAGCAGACAATGGCCTCAGTGGTGCGGTTGGTAAAACGTGAGCCCCCGGAAAGGGTAACCGTAGGTTCGAATCTCTCCTGGGGTCTAAGTTTTGCGAATATCTCAGCAACATAGTAATTGTGTCTCAAATAATACCTTGTCGTTAACAATAATAATAGGTAATGAATAGAAAGTGAAACATTGTAACATAGAATGATTTAAACGCAAAGCATCCAGCGTTGAAATATTTCTTAAAGATAAACCATGTCTTAGACTACATCAAACCTGGTCTTGCGATGACGTGTGGAGACAACCGATGTATCAGGTGAGCAATTTTATCCTCCCAGGTTAGTTTAGTATTGACTTGTTGACCAGCGGCATTGAGTTTTTAGTTACTGCACGATGCGGAGTATACAGCAAGCATTTGTATGTTGCAGAACACTTCTAAGCACATCAACAAGCTGATGCAAGATGAGCAAATGACACACACAATTCTGTGGAGCATGCTTGCTTTGAGAACTGTGGTACTAATTCAACGAAGGACGCCCCAACTGTGAATACTGTTTCATCAGACAATAGTTATTAAGAACAGGTACATTGACTTTATATCAATTTACATAAAACGTTCTTAAGCGAGAAGTCATAGTCAGTGTTTCTTAAAGACTAATATTAATACTCTGCTGAAATCAAACACAGTATCCGCAGGTCTTTGGACATTGTTGCCTCATCAACGTCAAATATGCCGTGTTCGTGCAAAAGCTGGCCATTCGCGGGCAATCAGAGACTGCTGTAGTGGGATTAACGAGATCCCGACAACCTAAACAATATAAAATCGAGCGAAAGGTTGCTTATTCCACTCAAAAGCACATTCCCTGTGTCGCTACGTCTCTCTAAAGACTTAGTTTCCCACAAATTATTGAGGATCGCGATGTTCATAGCGCAAAAGAGGTGAAAAATCGACAATAAAGCTGGAAACTGAAATCTAATAGAAAGAAACACATTTTGATGCTTGGTAAGCTTGCCTTCCCTTACTGTACTTTGTTGTTCAAGCCAATCAATGAAAACTAACTTGAAGCCGTGGGTGAAGTTGACGTCGTATTTAACGTTCCCGGACATCTGTTACAAGTTCTGGGACACTGTTGCGTCATCAGCGTGTAGTAAACTGAGTTATTACAGAGATACGCCAATCTTGGACAGTCAGACACGCCAGTACGTGGATTTACACAGTCGACACAAGCTACAACTATTCTACTAACGAATGTAATTTTTAAGAATTGATAAAGGTTAAGCGTTAAGCTATATTGGTTGCAAATGCCAATTTCAAAACAACTAGAATTGTTGGATGTGAGGAACAATCATCTGTAGGATCTGTCATGCTGTTGATAGTCAAGTGACTTAGTGGCCGTCTGTAAGCTCTCCATTTGCACTTGTGGCAAGCAAGAGTAACCCAATGGGTTCTTTTGGTTCTAAGGGTTCGTAGAGCACCATATACTTTTTCTAGGGTTTTAGTAAGCAACTCTAGCCATCGGATTAGTGATCTTCCTGCCAGGCGTCTGACATGCCGTGGAATTAAATCGGTGGCGGCTTTTGCCCATCTGTTATCGCTTAGAACCGTTACTTTTCCGGAGCAGTTGATTTTCGACAATTTAAATATGAAGCGGCGCCTCTGATCTTGCGTACTTGATATGGGCTTTAATTTCGGATATCCTGTTTTACTTACATGATACGAAATACCCCTAGTGTTTAACTCGCGACTGCGAGTTCAATAGGTTTGATCTTTCACCCTGCTTACGTGGAGACGAGGTTCCCAACGCACACATTAAGCCAGGAAGAATTCTCGCAATGTGCCCTTTTTAGTTCTCCTTACAACATCCTCGACGATCTTGGAAGCTCTCTTAGAACTTCTTTTCCTCTTGGTCAATTCAGAGGCTAAATCGCTTCGTGCTGTCTTCCCGACCTGTATAGAAGCGGCTAGAGCGTTCGAAGGCATTCATATCGTTGACCGTGAATGGGTCACACGAAACCAATCCGCTTCTCATGAACATCGTTTTTGTGAGACTTAGTCAAAGACCAATCTTTCCTCGGGCTTTATCAGAGTCGGTAATCATTCGCTTCGTTTGGCTAACGTGCAATAATATCATCAGCAATGTAAAGATGGCATAATTGCCGACCATCGATTTTCACTCTCATTTTTCCCATTCCAATGTTATCATTCCGATCGGATTTGAATAAATTTGGCGTGATGGCATTGCGCTGTCGAATCCTTCTCTTTATCGCCATAGAATTGTGATGTCCTTGTTGTGAAAGTTTTATATAACCCACGAATAATCTTTATCCACCGAGTAGAGACGCCTTGGCTATCCATGACCGCTTCTTTTTCAACTGAGTAAAGACGTTTCTACATTGGTGAAATGTGGGACAAAGAGGTTTCTTGTACTCTCGAGATACTTCAGTGAGTCGCGTTATCGCGTGGATGGGTGTTTTATCGCATTAAATCTTTTTCAAAACCCTGCTCGCTCATAAGACTCCCCTTCGTTCAGTCCTCTGTCAGTTCTGTTTAGGATGACATGAGTGAAGAGTTTATAGACGATAGACCACAAGCACTTAAGGCAATAGTTGCCGTTATCGCGTAGGTCACGTTTTTGCACAATAACACGGTCCTGCTGGTCTTCGGTTAAATGGGAGCCTTGTATTCCAACAGGCAATGTGTGAGAAGTCGATTCAGTGTATTGATGATGACTTGGGGAAGGTTCTTAGGTACTCAGATCTTATCATATCGGAATAGCATTTTGGATTTCGGAAGTGAGAAACGATAGAACGACATCTTGCTTTATCTTACATGAATGGAGTAGGAAGTGGCACTTGTAAAAAAAGAATCATACTGCTAGTTGGAAATGATTTCCTCGTTTTCCCACTTAACTAATATGGACATCTGAATGAGGCTATCCTGGCCTTATCTTCAGAAAGTTCCAGTGGCGTTTACTAATGCTCTGAGCTTCGGCCATTAATGCTGCTCTTCTCTCTTTAAGATCTCTTTCATCGTCTTTCTCCACTATTTCGCAAGTTCGGATTTAATTGTATGATTGGCCTGTGCTTGTAAAATGCTACACTGACGTATTAGTTTGAGTGCCCTAGAAGAGAAAGCCTTTTTGTGATTTTCGAACTTACAGCTTTCATAACACTAACGCGAAGATGTTGAACAAGCCGCTTGTATCCTTCGTCGACTTTATTAACAATGGAATCTTTTCACGAGCTGACTAATGATTTAAGTAAGTTCCAGTTTATTATCGTTTTGGGTCTTCGCCTTTTGGACTTAGAGGAATTCTCACCTTTCTGCGATAAATGGAACCTTACATGAAAGTAATGGAACCTGTGCAAGTTCATTTAGTGTGCTTCAGTATTGTCATCGTCATTGATTGATGTGGGAACGTATAGAACGAGCATTTGCCTAAGCCCGTGTAGATCTGCATCTCGCGAACTGCAAGCCTCTGATTCGTATTACTGGTCATTTAAAGCAGTCGATGTTCGTGGCCACACCAAAGTACACCAGAGCGATGATGTCGCTGACTCCATCGTTATACGTCCCGAGGAGCAGCCCTTCTTTGGTACTATATACGGCGTTAAATAGGGGTCTCACTTCTATGGTGTCCTTCCTAAACCTCTTAGTTTGACACATTAGGTCATCAATGAAGAATGCAAATGATGCCGTTCGTGTGTTATAAGCAGCGATTTTAACACCGTTCACCGCAGACTTAGGCAACCTATAGGTTTCTTGACGTCTTAGTAATCTCTTTGTCTTTATTCAACTCCGCAGTATCGAAACTCTTTCAGGGTCAGGAGAACGAAGCCTATTTCTGTGTTTTGCTGTGTTTGGCGTTGGATTCACACCTTATAGCTTGCTGACCTTTAAACGCGGAGATTGGGTAGGCTCGTAAGTAGCATGCTACTTTCTCTCTCGGGATAGATGAGAAGCTTATTTGTTGGAGGGCATTCCCAACCACCTTCAATATTGTCTTCCTCTCGCATTTTGGTTGACTTTTAGTCGGATTGACTCCTAGAATACAATCTATATATGTACGTCACACCCGCACATGCATGAATGATCATACCACGTAAATGGATAAGATGTGCGTCAACATGGAACAGTAGTAACAGCAACTGAGTCATCAGAATTCACCTTTGTTTTGTGAAATATAATGTTCTTTTGGTCTGAGAGCCGTCCCGTAGCGCTGTGGTTAGCTGATGCCTTTGATCAGGAAGCAAACGTACTAGTTCGGCCACCTACCCCTCGACCATCATTCTGCGACATCCACGAAGAACACGAAATCCTCAAGTTGCAGCGGAAAAAAACAAGCAAATGTTCGTTCAAAGACTTTTGTGGTCGATGATTGGAGGAAAACGAATCTAATCTAAAAGTGCTATGATACGCTCTGTAGATATGATGACGGGTCATGTAAAACAATTGTAACTTTTCTTAATCCATGTGAGAACTCACTTGGTGGCAACGTCACATTTCCTGTTCCCGGACATCTGTTACAAGTCATGGGACACTGTTCCGTCATCAGATTATAGTAAAGTGAGTTGTTGCAGAGATACGCCACTCTCGGGCAGTTAGATACACCAGTACGAGGATTGACACGATCCACACATGCTGAAAGGTTTCTACCGATACTTTGTTCATGCACACGTTAAAAACAAGTCTTTTTTAAGAGCAGGGTGTGTTGCGAAATATAACTCGCATAATGCTGAGTTATTTGCAAAACTCCGGACCGTAGGTGTCTGCGGTTGGGAAAGAACGCGCTATTGTCCTTTCCGGAGAGTAACGCGTTCACCACCACACCATGTGGGGCCTTCATGATTGTGATTAAAACAAGAGTCTTAGCTTAACTGGATCGTTGCCGATTTTGGCCCCCAGATCAATCTCGCTGACGGGTGATTGCTGTGGCATAGATCGATAGAACTAGCTGAGAGGCAGCCGATGCGAAGGACCCACATGGTGTGGTGGCACTCCTGGAAAGGGCAATAACGCGTTCGTTGCCCACCGCAGACACCTTCGGTCTGGAGTGTTGCAAATATCTCAGCATTAAGAAAGAATTGGGAACATTCACTTTCAGTGGTTCTAAGTCGAGCACTAGGAAAAATTGCAGACAATGATTATTGCCAAATGATCACTTCGTGATGCAAGTAGGAAATGCCAAAACCTTTCATCTCTTCAACGTTTAGTTAAATATTAAGATATGATGTTAATAATCCCATGTATAACTTGTGGTTCAAATTTGTTCTATCCATAATCTGTCGTAGACCGCGAGTTATAGTGTTCGATACCACCTCATGCACAGAAGGTAGTTGAGTTCTACACTGCCCACAACCAACCAAACCTACCATCAATTTGTGTACAAATTGTTGCCATAATTCTCTGGAAAAAATTCTCTCCGATCTACAAAGGAGAGGGGCTGCTTCTATTGTGAACAGATAGAAACGCAGCAATAGAACTGACTATCCAGAAATTCCGCGGAGGAAAATTCCACATTGAGCAATCTTCATGATAAAGACAAAATCCTCAAGCGACGACCATGTGGAAATCCGAAGAATTCCGTGTGTTATGGATGCGGCAGAACGAAGTGAATAGAAGAAGTGCTAAAATCCGCGCGACATGTGAATCCAGATCATAGAAATTAGTAAATTAAGCATTCCGTTAGGGTACTCCATGCAGGTTGGTATTTCTACGTGACGCTTTTTATGCTTTCATGTAGTAGCTATCAGGTTTGTTTTATAGAGGAAACCGTAAGTCAAGTCTTAGGTACATCAGAATCACATGACTGCAGGCCTTTGCCCGAATCGACACTCCGTTTGTGAACACAGCCATGAACTTATGTTTGTGTGCGATGATGTGTACACGAAAGAACGAGTCGCTCTCTTGAATACACCTGTGTCTTAGTGCATGTACGGTGTTTGTATGGTCGCCATGTCGTCATCTGGAGTCACGTAACTTCAAAGCTGATCGGCTCGATGAGCAATCATCATCAGATGAGCAGAATCAATCAGTATATAGAGTACGTCTTAATTATTCTCGACTGCTGAATTCCAGAGCGTAGTCGTTCTTTTTGATTATGTAGTTCATAGTCGAACTTCATACACACCTATGTTAGACATATCTGACTGTTTAAACAAACCCAGCTGCAAATTTTACCAGCTCAGAAATGCCTAATTCACGACATATTTGTTTTTCACTGGGCAATGTGGTGGAAAGTGAAGAGAAGCATGCAAATCGTTTATGAAGGATGAAGAAAGAAAACGAAACCAAGTGAGGCAAAATAAATAAAGAAAAATCCTCAAAAACTTACTTGAGGTACTAGTTGTTGTGGTAGTGGCGTTAATTATCTATAAAATATTAATTAAATAGCTATTTTTCAAAAACTAGCAGTTGCATCAGGCATCAGCCTCGTTTAATTTAATGCTTACGGTTTCTTTACTTTTTCTTTCTACCTGACCCATCATTACTGTGCGAATCCCAGCACTTCTTGTATTCGAATCGTTTTCCTCGCATTCACCGCCTACAAAGATGTTCGAACATTTCAGATGTTCTTTTAGCCGTTGGTTGACGATTTCGCCTTTTTTGTGAGCGTCTGCTGGTCGAGTCGATTCTCCTTGTGGGTTTGGAGTTAGTCTACCTAAGACGTTCTCACGTGCACTTGAAGGTAGCGTTGGGAAGGCGTCGAACTAGCACCTCGCTCTCTGATGGGCTGTATCGCTAACCACTGCGCTACCTTTTGCACTGTCAATAACGGAGCTGTCTCAGAATTTCAGAGCATTCACGCTCGATCATCATTCAACATGTCAATAAGAAAAGAAGACTGTAGAACTGTAAGCAGCTGCTTAATCCACACCAGAACCCGAAAACAATCGTTGGATGATGGTTGCCAGACAATGCAACGGATAGAAGAACTACTGAGAGCTGCGCGAAATATGAAAGCGGGTAATTTATGCATTTAATTGGATATGTAATGGTAATATTAGAGGGTGTAAAGAAAAACCGTTGAAAATACCGCTATTGATTAACCATTGAGTTTTCGCAGCATATTCGGCCGTTTACTGTCGCAATGCAAGTGGCTGTTGGTGACGGACAAATATCAGCAACACAAGCTAGATGAAAAGGCATCAGTGTCTTAAAAGCTACATATTTTCGGTACAAATTATGAAACATTTTAGTAAACTTTTAAAAGCAGCTTTCTCCAGTTACTATGAATTTTAGAAAGAGACAAATAGACTTAAGTTCTGCTCTATACTTTTTACAGAAACCTTCGTTCGTTAACGTTTAAGAGCATTCATATTTTTGAGCGTGATATAGATTTGAAAAAAAATCCAGATCTTCTGCTGGATCTTCGAAAGATTTCAATTTGAAAATATTTAAGTTTTCTGATTACCTTACTTGCATTCATTCAACTTAGACACCTTAAACAATTTGCCTCATATCTACCAGTTGTAGCTACACTTACGTCCTGTTCCTCCATTAACACAGCTTTGGAGCTGAGGCTGAATCAGATGAATGCATACAATCAGCAAAAAGAAAGCAAGCATTTCAGTTCTTCTTCAATCTATAAGAAGACACAATGGAATAGAGTCGAAAGGACCAATTGAATGTTAGAAAGTTTTTTTCTACGAGCTCGAAGCTTTAGTTCTAACGCAGGAAAAAAGAGGTTCTGCTTCAGTGTCATGCAGTAACAGTAAGCTGCATAGAAGCGAGGCCATCGAAAGGACAGTAGATGGTTATTGTTTTGTCATTCCACTTATACTGCTGTGCTACTCATTGGCTGTGAAAACATTCCTAATGAATTGCGTCACTCACTGAACTACTTTCCTGTGTCAATTTATTCATCACCGGATACGAAAAAAAAATCGCAGAGTGAAGAAGTGAAGCTGTGCCGATACTGCTGTTGAGAAAGGGAAAACAATTCTATGTACAGTCTCGATTCTTCTGCTTTCTATTAAAATTTCTCTTTCATGTAGCATTCTTTCTCCTTCATCCTTTTTGATCTCTCGACTACTAAAAGCAAATAAACTGTTATCAAACTGTGGACCTCAAGACGATAGAGGAGGGAATCTTTACAGGGGGAATCGAACTAAAGATGATATGTTCATCTTCATACCAATTTTTATTCTCTGCTGTTTTTCGTTTACTTAAAAACTGATGAGTTTTTCTCCTGTTGTCGTGTCGAGTGCAGCAAATCTTCAGCTTATTTTTGTTTCTAGCAGAAGTCAGTACTGAGCTTTTCTTATAATACAATCTTCAACAACTTCATATTGTGACGGTTATGTGAAGTGGGAAGAAAGTCGCTCTAGACACCAGCTTAAGTAACCCTTCAGAGCACCCAAACTAGCCACCGATCTATGTTGCTTCTGGAATGTCTTAAGCCCTTTAAGCTTGTTTCTGATTTAATTACAATTTAATAAAGCCACTCACTCGAAAATTTTTGTACTCTTATAAAAAACCATCAACCACGTTAAGAACACTGCGCACTAATCGCAGAGTGTGTGAACGGTGTCTTCTGAAATATAACCTACACAGCCAACTTCTAGCCGGAATTCAAGCCTCCGATCTTCGAAATCTACCTCACCTTCTAGGTGGCGAAAGTGTTCACGAAGTTATCTATGTAAGATATATCACTATTCAGAGCACTACAGCAGTGAACAAATTTGAAATGAAAATCCTGTGAAGTAGCTCTATGCATATCTCCTAATATTTGTTCGTACGTGCTTGTTTGAACAGCAATTTTGAGATAATAAAAATATACCAATCAGCAATTTCAACAACCTTTTTTAAACAAAATTCAGTTAGAACACTCCATGACAGACAAGTTTCCGAAAGTAACGGTTTCGTTCAAAAAATGTGATAATTTGCTATCCATGAACTTCGACTTGAAGCGCTTCAATAGAATATTCTAATGCAAAGTGTTTCGAGGAACGCGAGTAAATCTAAAACGTTGATGATTTTTTCCTAAACCATAAGAAGAAGCGTTAATACCGCTGCTTTGACCACATGCTTCTCAATGACGTTAATGATTTCATTGAAACACTTTATTAGGCAAACAAAATAGTTTTTATCACTTCGACTCACAAGAGAGGTGAGGGTGGGTGACCGAAGTTTCTAAGTACACGTGTTATAGCAATATAAAAGATGAAAAGGATAAAGCTTTCGGTGTTGATCTATCTCTCAAGTAAGCGCCATGCATTCACCTTCATTGAGCATCGTTGAAGCAATGAATCCATAGCTGGCCTATAAATGACTCGCAGGGACCTAACGATATATCGAGTCAGTGCCTCTATCCTCCACGACAGCTCGAACAAGATTCTGCCGAACCAGGAGGGATGGAGGGCTTCGTGAGCCTTGGGCACGGGGATCGATCTCGCGTGTATTGCTGGGAGCCTTCGACCATTGCGCTTCAAGCGCTCAGGAAACAATACGTTATATTCATTCGCTATTTATTACATCGCTCGTCATCACATCTACTATGCAGATCGCAGCACTTTTT